GGCTGAGCCCTTATATGATATATGTTTTATCATGGAGTTATTTTATTATGTAGAATACGACACATACTACAGTAGTTCTATACTACCTAGCTACTAATGGGAGTATAGAGCAGATAGTATAGAAAGCTATATTATATATATCATATTCTGACACTATAGGGAACTAAACAATAATAATTGTTTAATCCTGGTTCTATAAAAAATAGATTTATTTATAAATTAAAATTATGTATATAAAGAAAATATAAAAATTTATTAATTTTTTTGATTTTCTTAAATATTTTTTAAATACCAAGAAAAATAAAATCAATATGATTTTCTTTTTCATACAAGGACAACAATAACAACAACAAAACCTTAACAGGCTTTTTATGTTCTTATTTATATATATTAAAAAACAAATAAAATCATGATTTTCTTGTTTTTCAGGAAAGAAAAATATATATAAAAATATAAATAATTAAGTAATTATTTTATCTATTTTTATTAATATTTAATCTTTCAGATATTGAAAATATCAAAAATTATATTTTTATTTATTTTAAATTTTCATATGATAGTCGAATTGATTACGTAATCAATTAAATCATATGATTAAAATAAAGTTTTTAAAAATAAATTTTATAGAAAAAAGATAAAAATGCATTTTTATTCTTTTTTGATAGCTATGCTATTGTAATCCTCAATGATTACCACTCTCCTCTTTCTTTTTATATATTTTTATTTCAATTATTTTATTTTTTATATCTTTCCTATATTATTATTATTCTTATTATTATTATTTATTATATCAGTTATATTATTATTATTATCATCAGTACCTTTTATTTTTATCATTAGTGCCTTCTCATTTTTATCATTATTTTGTATTAGAAATAGCAGTAAAATCTATAAAGCCAAAGGCCCTTTTTTCCACTCGCACAACCAGCTCATTGATCATACATCCGTCCATAATTGTGTAACCTGCATATCATTCCTGAATCTGACCTTGATATCCAATATTGAGATTTTTAATTGTGAAATGATGTTACTTCTTGGTCCTACTCGACCTTCTTGTTTATTCCATCACTTTCAACATTATTCTCAATTACCAAGGATCTTAGCATCTTGGTAATGCAGCCAAGGATCTTGGCCAACCAATAACCTTCTGTCTCATTCATATATGCAATACGATTGGATATTATTCCTCACCAAGTTGTCTTCTGCCAAGAATAATTGGTTGCTGCGCTGCTTTGGAAAAAGTATAAAAGGCCAGGATTTTTGAACTGAAATAATTATCGAACAATTCACTAAAAGAATAAATTAACATTCTTATCCCTCGATCACTCAAATATTGAATAATTATATTTGTTTTATATTCTTGATACAATTCATATCCATCCAATTGCTTATTAAAAAGCCTTATTTTATCTAACCACTTGATCTAATCAATTCAATACAAGTCTTCTAATTTCTACAATAATTGAAGACCATTTTATTAAATATATCGTTGTAGTATACGTTAATTACTACTGGTGCTCACTATATTAAACTATCTATTACCTGTAATCCACCTAAGTCCTATCTTAAAACCAAGGGTTATACTATCTGAATCTTACAGATTCTAAAAATAAGATTTGTGTAACAAATATTTGTTTTTTAATATATATAAATAAGAACATAAAAAGCCTGTTAAGGTTTTGTTGTTGTTATTGTTGTCCTTGTATGAAAAAGAAAATCATATTGATTTTATTTTTCTTGGTATTTAAAAAATATTTAAGAAAATCAAAAAAATTAATAAATTTTTATATTTTCTTTATATACATAATTTTAATTTATAAATAAATCTATTTTTTATAGAACTAGGATTAAACAATTATTATTGTTTAGTTCCCTGGTAGAAAAGTTTTACTTTTCCTATAAAAATTAATAAAATATTAATGATAAACCAATGGTTTATCTATCAGGGGTTTAATCTATATTAATTAATTATGACATAAACTATTAGATATAATATATCTATAATTTATGTTTAATTAATATAAACACTTTTTATGAAAACATAAATTTATGATATCATTAATGCTAAGAAAAATAAAAACAAATTGTTTTTCTTTTTCACTACCACCACTACCACTACCACCACCACTTCAACAACAAACAACAAAACCATTTCATGCTTTTCTTGTTTTCTTATTTATATGTATTAAAAAACAATTATTTGTGACACAAATTTTGTTTTTAGAATCTTTATAAAGATTCAGATGCATTGCATCAAAAAAGAATAAAAATAATTTTATTTTTATCTTTTTAATAAAATTTATTTTTTTGAAACTTTATTTTTATCACATGTAAAAAATGATTACGTAATCATTTCTAATTAACATGTGAAATTTAAAAATAAAAAAAAATATAATTTTGAGGTTCAATCGAACCTTTGAAATATTAAATATATTAAAAAATAAACAAATAATTCAATGAATTATTCATCATTTATTTTTTTATATATTTTTATTTCTGAAAAACAAAAAAATCTATGATTTTAATTGTTTTTTAATACATATAAATAAGAAAACAAGAAAAGCATGAAATGGTTTTGTTGTTTGTTGTTAAAGTGGTGGTGGTGGTGGTAGTGGTGGTAGTGAAAAAGAAAAACAATTTGTTTTTATTTTTCTTAGCATTAATGATATCATAAATTTATGTTTTCATAAAAAGTGTTTATATTAATTAAACATAAATTATAGATATATTATATCTAATAGTTTATGTCATAATTAATTAATATAGATTAAACCCCATACCCTATAATAAATACCAATATTACACAAAAGGCACAGCCTGAGCACATATACAAATAAGGAAACTTAAATAATTCTTGTGTAAAAAAGGAAATTAGTATAATCGTATAACGATGTACTACCTTCATATAACTCTCTAAAAAGAAAATGTCAAAGATATCAAAGATAAAAGGTACAGCCTTAGACCTATCCTTATAACTACCCTTATAAATGATAATAATTATTATATCCCAAAGGTCCCACTTCATCCATCTATAATATAGAATAGTATAAAATAAGTAACTAAGCCCATATCTTTCATAGAATAGAAAAAGTATAAATAAGCCATTATAAATGTAATCATAGAAAAGGAAAACAACTTTTATTTAAATCTTTCTTTCTATTGTAGTCCTCAATGATTACCACTCTCCTCTTTCTTTTTATATATTTTTATTTTAATTTATTTTATTTTTTATATCTTTCCCATATTATTATTATTTATATCTTTCCCATATTATTATTATTTATATCTTTCCTATATTATTATTATTTATATCTTTCCTATATTATTATTATTTATATTAGTTATATTATTATTATCATCAGTACCTTTTATTTTTATCATTAGTGCCTTTCATTTTTATCATTATTTTGTATTAGAAATAGCAGTGAAATCTATAAAGCCAAAGGCCTTTTTTTCTACTCACACAATGAACTTATTGATCATGCATCTATCCATAATCATGTAACCTGCATATTGTTCCTAAATCTGACCTTAATATCTAATATTGAGATTTTTAATTGTGAAATGATGTTACTTCTTGATCCCACTTGACCTTCTTGTTTATTCCATTACTTTTAACATTATTCTCTATTACTAAGGATCTTAGCATCTTGGTAATACAGCCAAGGATCTTGGCCAACTAATAACCTTCCATCCTATTTATATATGTAATATGATTAGATATTATTCCTTGTTAAGTTGTCTTCTACCAAGAATAATTAGTTGCTATGCTGCTTTAGAGAAAGTATAAAAGGCTAGAATTTTTAAACTAAAATAAATAATTATTGAACATTTCACTAAAAGAATAAATTAATATTCTTATCCCTTAATCACTCAGATATTGAATAATTATATTTATTTTATATTCTTGATACAATTTATATCTATCTAATTGCTTATTAAAAAGCCTTATTTTATTTAACTACTTGATCTAATCAATTCACATATAAGTCTTCTAATTTCTATAATAATTGAAGACCATTTTATTAAATATATCGTTATAGTATATGTTAATTACTACTAGTGCTCACTATATTAAACTACCTATTACCTATAATTCACCTAAGTCTTATCTTGAAACTAAGGGTTATACTATTAAAAAACCTATAAAAAAGTCTCAAAGGATTTATATCATCTATTTTATCTTTTATTCTAATCTAAAATTAACCAAATTCCATAATAACATTGGCTGGATGAACTAGCAGCTTCTTCTTATTAGCTTCTTTTAGAAATTTTAATAGCAGTACTAACTTGGATTAACTTATCAACTATATATTTTTTGTTAGTACCATAATGACTTATTTAGGCTATTCTTACTAGTTCTTTAACCCTAGGTTCTATAGATATAAGGAATGTGACAGTAATACTATGTTCTTCTCCTAAAAGATCACTATCATGATAGCTATTTAGATAGAGCAACATTTAATATCCTAAACCTTATAAGTTATCAAAACTTATAAGGTACTTTTTTATTTAATTTTTTAAAAGAAAAAAAAATTATTAAATCTGATAACCTAATTTTTAATAAAGAGTTTTGCAGAAGATTTAACATATAAATTTATTAAAGTTATTATATAAAACTAATCTTTACTTGATTATATTTTATTAATTGCCAAAAAAAAGATAATTTCTTTTTCAAAATTGATATTATTATATTATACTTCTATTTATTTTTATCTACTAATATTTATTATTATTAATATTTCTCTATAGATAATATAGTTATGATTATCTAGGATAATGAGGGGACAACACAATATAGGGATAGATAGGGATTATAAAAAATGGGATAGTTGATCAACCTATCCATCTACAGATAAACCTTTAGGAGAAACATTTTACTGATGTGATCTGGTTGGTTGACCCAGGTTCTTAGGTTTGAATTGTCATCTTGAAGTCACGTGACCAGCTGATGACGAATTTCTTTCAAAATTCGTCTCAGACGCGACAAGGTAACTGGAGCTTCCTTGGCTCAGTCGGTAGAGCGTCAGTCTCATAATCTGAAGGTCGCCAGTTCGATCCTGGCAGGGAGCATAATTCAAATTATCTGTATTATATAATTTAAACATTTATATTTTTATATGTTTGTCGTAATTATTTTTGGCGGATAATACCGTAGCCAATAGGAATAATAAAGATAATAAGATATTTTTAAGAGAACGTAAAGATCCTTTTTTATTGTTTAATGATGAGAGGATATTTATATGTTTTCTGGTTATGACGGATAATACTAATAATATGGATAGTTGCTAGTAATACTTTGTTTCTTGGTAATGATGTTAATATTAAAAATAGTGATGATGGATGCTACACATCTTGGCAATAACGCTGATAATAGTTATGATATAATAATGTGCCCAGCAAGAAGTATACGGAAGAATTATTAAAAATGATTATTTTTAGATATAAAATAATTGTACAAGAAGTATCCAAAAAAAGGAAAAGGGTAACACCGATAATTCTGCTACGACATGTTGTTATTGTCATAGTGTTATATGTCGTAGCCAAGATTCTGTCATATATATATTTTGACGGAAGTCCAAGCCAACAATACAAATAGCAATTAATAACAAATAAATATAAAATAAAGAGTAACAGATCGATGATGTTTATTTAATAAAGACCATGGGGATATTATATGTTTTCTAAACTACTAAAGATATGATATATATGATGTAACAGATCATGATAATAATAGAATAATGCTAAGTGTCTTGGTACTAGCGATGATACTAATGATAACAATAAGTATGATGATGACGATGATGCCAAGCAGAGGTTGCTAAGCATCACAAGTGTCATAGTTAGTAGTTGGGTATTTTTAATACTGATAGTACTCCTTTTACTGCGGCTACACTGTACTTCTTTATGCTTCGTCATAACCGCAGCATACCTCTTTATTAGTCACAGTTCCCTTTTCCTTTTATAATTATATTATCATCGTCATCTGCAGCTTCATCATTATCATTAGTCACTCATCATCATCATTATTTTATTATTATCATCATCTGCAGTAGTTTTAGAAAAGATATAAATATAGATCATTTTATTAAAAATAAAGGACATCTTCTATCTATCTTATTATCTCATATATACCTTTATGGTTCTCTTCCTTCATGGTTATTCTGTGTGGTTATTTACCTGTGTTGTTATTACCTGTGTGGTTATATTCTCTCTTCATGGTTCTCTCTGTGTGGTTTTATCTTCGTGGTTTCAACTTATAAAAAATACGACATTTGGTAGCGAAAGATAAAATGAGTGATCAATTTACTTCTGAACAGCAATAACAATTTGTGGTACAAGAATTTGTTTATAGACAATTACCAGAAAATGCCAAAGAACTATATCACACATAAGTCTCCCAAATAGACATTCCAGAAAATTTACATACCCAATTCACAGCGCAACAGATGGAAATCCTTCAAGAACGCACTAATGGAGTAACACAAGGATTTTTGTCAGTTGCTAACCAAAATACACAACAGCCAAGTCAAGAGGCACAGATGTTATCCACTATGCAAGCAATGTTGCAACAAATACAATTACAACAAAATGAAATTAGATCTCTCCATGAAACCTCCTATCCAAATAAAATCAAACCAGTTCAACCTAATCTTTTTTGTGGTGTCTGTTCATCGTCGGTAGTAGAAGCTTAGTTACATACTGTCAATAAATATGGTGATTGTGCAGGCCTCTCTAATAAAGAACATGTAACCTATGCCTCGACTTTATTACATGATGGTGCTGCAATGTGGTGGCGCTATTTAGAACTGGCTATTCATCTAGATGACAACGCCAACAAGACTCCAAAAACCTGGTCCAACTTTCAAGATGCATTTCGAGCTGAATTTAAGCCACGCAATTCTGCTCAAATTGCTTGCAACCGACTCTATGCTCTATCTCAAGGAAATGGTACCATCTGAGAATATGTCACTGAATTCTGTAACATCATGCTTGATTTACCTGATATGTTCGAGGAAGATGCCATGCATGAATTTATATGTGGATTGTCATGCGAAGCTCGTGTCCAAGTATTACTTAACCATCCAACCACTCTAATTGCTGCATACAATTCAGCCGAAACTTTTGAAGCTGTCTATGAATATGCTGCTGGTGTTCATGCCCCAATCCACTCTAGTTTGCCTCTGAATAATATATCTTATAGTCAAGCTGCTGGTCCCACTCCCATGGAATTAGATGCCATTGACTTCCATCAACAAAGTCATCCTCGCCATTGTTACAATTGCAGTGGCTCTGGCCATTTTGCTCATGAATGTCCATCCCCACAACAGCCTTTAAATAATCGCAATAATAGTAGTCGCCAAGGTTATAGTAATAATAGTCGTCAAGGTTATAACAATGGTGGTTATCATCAAGGTAATCGATCCAATGGTCAACCTCCCCATTACAATCAAGATTTAAAAGGCAAAGCACGTTGGGATTAAAGGGTGTCCCTTTATGCACAACTCCATCCCTTAATATGGTACAAGAACAATACATTAGTCAAGCTCCAATAATTAAAACCATTGATCAAGAAGAGCATGTTCCAGTTTCTAGTGGTAGTGTAGTTGATGATCAAATGCCATTGATCGATCTTTCTAGTGATACCTTGTTTGACAAGGAGGAGGAGGACAATGGTGAGTATCAAGATAATTTTCGTCATTTTGAATCCTTAAACTCAATAAACAATACTGATTTACCTCTGTACACAATGGTCTGTAATAGGAAAAATGTGAATATGCTTTTGGATAGTGGTGCTTCTTATACTTATGTGTCTCCTTTTGTGGCTGCTGGTTGTCCTGTTCATACTGTAACGAATCGGGAGGTCGAGATAGCTGGTGGTCACAAATTCACTATTGATTGTGCTGTTACACTCTCTTTGGATGCTGCTGGCTTGGATCACTAGGTTTTTGCATATGTGTTAGATACCAAGTTTAATTTAATTTTGGGTCGTGATTGGATCAAACGAATGAAACCAGTACCTAATTGGGACCAAGATTTGGGTTATTACTATCAATGATAAGCAATACATTTTACATCCAAAATTCAATCGTCTTACCCATGATCTCACATACCTTATTTCTCACCGCCAAGTTGTCAAACTGACCAAGAAAAGATAGGTAGAAGAGTTGTTCCTGTGCTACCCAAATTTTGAAGACCAAAAGAAGGAACAATCGGAGCATGATAAACTCCACCAGTTCAAGAAGGAGTATCCTGAAGTTTTTCAAGATCAATTACTGGGATTATCACCAGAACGTGATATCCATCATGTCATTATACTGGTGATGCGACCCGATCAACCGCCCACCATACAAGATGAGTCCTTTAGAACTAGACGAATTATGAAAACAGTTGGATGAATTACTTGCTCTTGGTTTGATCTGGCCTAGTATGTCACCATGGGGTGCTCCCGTTCTTTTTGTCCATAAGAAAAATGGTGAAATGCATCTGTGTGTGGACTACCGTGCTGTTAATCAGGTTACCAAACGCCACTCCCATCTACTTCCACGTATAGATGAGTGTCTTGAGCGTTTATCACAAGCAAAGTATTTTTCATCGATTGATCTCAAGAGTGGGTATCATCAGCTACGTATCAAGAAAGAAGATATTCCCAAGACAGCTTTAATACACGATATGGTTCTTTTGAATGGCTGGTTCTTCCATTGGCCTTCATAATGCTCCTCCTGTATTTCAAGCTATGATCAACAAGGCGCTTGGTGACTGCATTGATAAATACGCACTGGTATATCTAGACGATATTTTAATTTACAGCAAGTCAAAACAAGAACACGAAGCCCTATGTACGCCAAGTTCTTGATCGTTTAAAGGAGGCGAAGTTGGTAGCAAACGTCAAGAAAACAGAACTGTTTAAAACTGAATTGGACTTTGTTGGTTTTAATATCTCTGCTGCTGGTATTTTACCCTCAAAGACAAAAATAAAGGCGATCCAAGACTGGCCGGTCCCATCGAACGTGCAAATGGTGCGTCAATTTATTAGTCTTTGTTCCCATTACCATCGTTTTATTCATGGGTTCAGTTCGATTGTAGCTTGTTTGACTGATTTGATGAAAGGTACAGGCACAAAGAAAAGGAGTATTGTGTGGACCCCAGAATGCCAGTCTGCTTTTGAAAAAATCAAGGAGTGTATGACTGCTGCTCCTGTGTTGCTACCACCTGACCCAAGCAAATCATATGTCATTGAGGTAGATAGCTCGGATTATGCTGTTGGTGGTGTTCTTATGCAAGAAGGTGATGACGACAGTTACACCCTATTGCTTTTGAATCAAAAAAATTATCGGTTAGTGAAAGATCCTATCCTGCACAAGAAAGAGAGCTATTGGTAATTTTATATGCATTACGCATTTGGCGATGCTTTGTGAAAGGTCATCACTTTATTGTCTGCACGGATCATCATCCACTCGTCTATTTCCGCTCCCATCGAAAACCACCTCCACCATGTCTTATTTGCTAGGATGGCCGAACTAGAACTCTATGATCCTATAATTGAATATAAAAAGGGGCAGATAATGTCATTCCTAATTTATTATCCCGAAGAGATGGACCAGATTGCATGCCTTCACCCACTTCTATGGAGCCTGATTACTTATATGCCATGAAATCTATCGAAGAATCTGACTGGCCAAAATTTTATACATTTGATGAACCAAAATGGCCATCTATGTATAAAGATTTGTTATTGAAGCATCAAGACAAGTTTGTGGTAAAAGGTGACCAAGTTTTCCAAAAAGTAAAAATTGGATCAGAAATACAAGAAATTCGATTTGCCTTATTTGCTCACCATGCTGACCTTGTACAACACTTTCATACCAGTTTCGGACATGCTGGTCAAACAACGTTGTATGATCTTATCAAGAAACGCTGGTGGTGGCCAAACATGAAGGATGACATCCAAAATTGGACCCACACATGTCCCCAATGTCAGCTTGGTGCAAATGCTGATCGCGGCATTCACCATGCACCTATGAAACCTTTGGATGTCCCTGATCCATTTTCTCATTGGCACTTAGATTTTA